AATATATCCCATATGCAGGAGGGCATTGGGATAAACAAAACGAAAGGTTTGCTAGGGTAGACCCCCCCCCCCCCCCCCCGCAAAAAGAAATCAAAATTCTGACTATGGGCCTGAGCAAAGCCAAACCATTTTGGATCTTATTATTTAACTATTTAAAAAAACTATGATATTTTCCTATAAAATTCAGTGAACCAACACACATTGTACATCAGAGGGTTATCATTGTCACACCAAAGAAATATGGTTCTTTGATAACCACTGCCAAAAATAATATGATGAGAGCAGAGTTTCTGTTCCTATGGCCACTGTGAAAGGAGGAAAGTTCACTGGTTAAAGATCCAGGAGCCCTGTCCACTTTTCCATGTGACCATCCTATCATACACACTGAAAACTGAATATAAATGCCTGACAACATTAAAATTCTTCAGTCTTTTAACAGCCATTTAATGAGAACTGAAATACAATATAATACATACAATCAACCCACTCAAGATTCCCTCCCCACATAATAATACTATATTTTTCATTACTTCTATGCTCAGTCTTTCATCTCATGAAAAAGAGCTGGAAGGTAGATTCTGCAGCAATGCCAAAACATTGATAAATAAGGAAATACTAGAACCTGTTTACCTGAGTTAACTCAGTGCAAATAACTTTTTTTAAAAAAAAAAACAGAGACATTGTGCTGTTAGTCCACAGTCTTGTGCACTCTAACATGGAAGTATGCACTGAACACAATGCAACTCACAGCTGAGTAAACATGCACAGAACAGTGCTGTTACTTATGTGCACAATATTTTGTATATTAGTATTTCAGAATGTCAAAATGTCTTCTAGGCATATTACAGGTACACTGCAAATATCTAACTTGGTCTTGCAGACTGAGAGGCAAGCTGTTAGACTTGAATGAAGCATCACTGAGAAGCTTCAACTCAGAAGAATCAGATAGTTCATTTTGGAGTACGAAAATCAATTGACTGTGACTTTCAGAACCCACTGTGAGTACAATTGCTCAGCACTCCCTCAATGCCCTTTAGTCCTCTCTCAGTAGCAGCCAATGAGACATCTATTAAAGAAATTGCATAACAAGACAATTATATTTTGTTGCCCCCAAATTAGGGGTGTTTAGGTAGAATAGTCATATAACATAGTGAGAGAAAAGATGCAAAAAGAAATGAAGACCAATTGAAAATTAATCTACATATACAATGAAGCACCAAGTTTCCAAAAGAATCTGCTTCTCCTTTTAGTACCCTCTCAGATTAATTTACAACATGTTCACCCCTCATATAAAACACTAGTAAAACATTTAAAGCATCCAGTTCACTTACAAACATCTGTAGCACATCCATATCTAATGTTCTCTATTCAAACCAACACAACTTTAAGGATACGTTTTAGGCTGCCTCCGAAATCCACTCCAGTGTTTTGACATGCAGCCATTCAAACGCCCGTTCCTCCCCCATGCATGCAATTAAATTATTCATTGCTGAAAAAGCTAATATGAATGCATATTGGTTTAAGTTAATAGTTATTCATTACCTCACAGAAAAGGGGACAGAAGAGAAACCCCTCTGAAAAGTATTAATAATTGAAGACAAAACAGTCAGCCTTTGGAGAAATTCGGATAAAATCCATTACAATTGTCAGAGTCCCCCGGCCAACCCCCCTGCCTCTGGTATGTGAGGCTGCTGGCTCAGAGTGCTGCCTTGTCAAACCAACCGTACAGTCTATTCAGTTACCCTGGAGTTGTCATGTGGAATCAAGCAAACAAATATCTTCTCTCTATTTCCCTCTAACTTGGCTACTCAAAAACCAGATTAATTGGTTGCAAAACTTGTGGCCTGAGTGAAGACAGGGGGCGGGGGAAGGGGGGAACCAAGCTGATTTGCAAATCTGAATCACTAGAGTTATAATGCTGTGGGTTTGTGGGGGTTTCTTTCCCATCCCCAAAGTGGTTCTCCATCCAGTTAATGAATAAACTACTAGATGTAGAAAAGAATGTTGAGAAGTTAATATCAGTCATAGGCTGTCTTATCAACACAAAAAAAAAACCCACCCATATGAATAGTTTTCATAAGTACCTGAACTTCAAGGAGGAGTAAGATGGAAAGCCCCAAAGTTTTAAAAGTATTCTACCAAATATCCATTATAAAACTACCAGTATTATCTGGTTTTATAGAAATACTAGGTGTCTCATTTGATAGAAAGTATTAGTGTCTTCTATAAACTTTAAAGAGGCAGGGTTGCAATGTTGGGCATCCATGGCAGTCAATGACAAATACATACATTAAAAATGGGACAGTGATCTACCTCTTCAGGATTAAAAGGGCCGGTAAGAGAAAGGTAAGGTAAAAGTTTTCCCCTTGAGATTAAGTCCAGTCATGTCCGACTCTGGGGGTTGGTTCTCATCTCAATTTCTAAGCCGAAGAGCCGGCATTGTCCAAGATCATGTGGTTGGCATGACTGCATGGAGCGCCATTACCTTCCTGCCAGAGCGGTATCTATTTATCTACTCACATTTGCATGTTTTCGAACTGCTAGGTTGGCAGAAGCTGGGGCTGACAGCAGGAGCTCATGCCACTCCCCGGATTCAAACCTGCAACCTTTTGGTCAACAAGTTCAGTAGCTCAGTGCTTTAACCCACTGCGCCCCCGGGGGACAGTAGCATACCTGATTCATCACTAGCAATAATAAATCACTGCTGACCATAAGGTGGCAAATTTGAAGCCCAATTTGGGTTTGAGCTCCCAACTGTTAATAGCTCATCTTACTGTTCACCTAAGCAGTTCAAAAACAGCTGTGCTGTGAGTAAATAAACTAGTGACCACTTAAAGTGGGGAGGTTAATTTATGACACCATAAAATACTGGAGACCAAGGAGGAAATACTATGGTCGAAAAGCTTGGCGTCATAGTGGATGAAGCAACAGCCAATTCAGATCCTTATTTTCAAACTTTTTTTTTTAATTCAGCTGGGCGAGTGACTTTCTTTAGAAGGAACATTTCAAAATTCTTCTCACCCTATTCCCATACTAAATACTTCTCCTCTCTCCCACAATGCCATTTTGTTTTTGTTTTTTGAAATGTACATGTTAATTGCATCCACACAATCAACAACACACTACATTTGAGTGTTGTTTGGGGAATGAGTAAAATATGTAAGCAGGCTCACCACCCCAATTGAAATCAATGAGACATAAACAAATGCTTAACTGGTTAGATGATGTCCATTTATGCTAAATATAGCAATCGTCTCCTGGCCCCATTTTTTTCACAATGTCTCTTTTGTTTCCACTGCTCAGGAATTAGAATACTTTCTAGCAGACGAATTATGATAATTACTTGGTCTGTTGCATCCTTTGCTTGAACAGCTAGCAAAAGGGGAACAATCTGTGAGCATTATTGAAAGGTGCAAAGATGTTCAGTAATAAATGTCTTATGGCTCTGAAACATTTGCTTACATATAAAACAGAACAGAACCAATGATGGTGTTCCATTATATGTGCAAAGGCCAGAAGGGGGCACTAGACAGAGGACAGTCACTTTTATGGGGGAACAGGAATGGGATGTTTTCCTGTTATTCCTCCCACCACCACCTATGTTGCCATCATGGAAACAACCTCTGTGTATGACATGGGGAAAGAGGGGGGGGGGGTAACCAGCGAAAATGAAGGCAATGGTTTTCCTTCTCCAACTCCCCCCTCCTGTAAAATGGACTATTCTTCTCTGTGTAGCGCCTCCTTTTGGCTTCCACCTGGATAATGGAACAGTACCGAACTGATAAATCTGTTTTAATACACACATCAGTTACTATAGCTTTAGCACAAAAAGCATAAAATATTGGGACAATTATTTTGTGGTGAACATGTCATTTCTTTGTGCCAGAGCACCCACATAAGGTTCTGCCACTAGCACCACAGTATGACGTGCTCCCATTTATATTGGCATTTTCCTTATTACATGGACATTTCCAACTACGATACCATTGCTACCAGAACAACAGCCCTCTGTAGCCTGGTGTAGCCTGGAATGGGACAAAAAATAGTGAGATTTTGTTTGTTGAAAAAAGTTATTTTAAAACGAGTGTTACTATTATTTATTAAATGTATCTATTCTTTTATTTTAATGATAATGAATTTTAATAATTCATTGTTCCTTGTGGACAGGGACGGCTCAACCCATTACGCAAAGTAAGCATTTGCAGTATAGTTAATTTTGCCCAGGGGTGCTCTTGAGGCGCTCTTGGGGGAAAATAGACCTTGACATATGCGAGTTGTAGTTACTGAGATGTATAGTTCACCTACAGTCAAAGACCATTCTGAACTCCAC